TTCTCCTGCTCTAGCAGGAGGCTCCTCGGTGCGATGGGGTGGAGCAGGAGAAACACCAGTGCCAAGAGAGGGATCATTACAGGGCTTCGGGCTGGATGAAGGGCAGTCAGATCAATCATAGAATCACAGAATGGTTTGGGTTGGAAGGGACCTTAAAGATCATCCAGTCCACCCCCTGCCCTGGGCAGGGCCACCTCCCACCAGCCCAGGTTGCTCCAAGCCCCGTCCAACCTGGCCTTGAACACCTCCAGGGATGGGGCAGCCACAGCTTCTCAGGGCAACCTGACACCAAGCCCTGGTCTATGTGACACTGAGTTCACCCCCTTCACGCTCCTTCCAGTGGCCTCCTCGAGACCCAACCATCCGTACTTCTGCTCCCAGCAGGAGAACAGCTCTCCATCGCAAGGCAAGGTGAAACATCTCACCTCCAACAGAGCTCCCACCTCATCCCACCCAGCCCAGTAACCCCCTGCTCTGCGCTGCTTGACCAGGACCGGTGAGCTGAGCTACCTTCACAGAGCCAAGACGGAAAGCAAGGCATCCCCCAGGTGAGCATTTGGTTTGGTTTTTTTCCCCCCATTTCTGGAGATCTGAAGCTCAAATCTGACTCATGCGAAAACGCCAACAAGTCTGGTGACTCTGCCCATTTGCTTCCCTACATCAGAGCCGGACACATCTTAAAAGGGTCATGCAGTGACCCGGGACTGCTGGTCTTGACTCAATTTATTGTCATTGTTTCCTCAGGCCACTTTCACAAGACATGATTAAGCCACTTGTTTAATTAAAAGCCAAAGCCCTGCTTCATGTCTTACTCAACACACGTCATTTAAATGCTGTGGGCTTCTGGCTGCCTCCGCGGTGAAGACAAGGATAAGGCCGATGGTGACTTCTGAAGGACGTCACAGTAGGAGGACACATCCTGAGCTCAGCACGTGTCCTCAGCCAGGTGTCCCCTACGGGCACCACCACGCCTGCCAACACCCTACCAGGGGCCCATCACCTCGGTGTCACCTTGCTGCCTTCTCTCTGTGTCACCCGTGTGCTCCAGGTTATGCCCACCATGATCTTACTTGCTGTTCCCCATGGCTCCTTGCTGCCAGGTCTTCATGTCGGGCGACTGGTAGCCCGGTGTCGGCGGCGCCGGCTGCAGCATGGGGCTTTGCGAAGGCGGGAGCTGGGGTGACATCAAGGGGCTGCTGGGACTGAGCGATGGGGCAAAGGCGGGTTCGTTTTGCTGACCCATGCCTGGGGAAGGACAGACGGCGTCAGTGGTGCCCAGAACCCCCACCAGCACCCCCAGTTCCCTCCTCCTCCCCTGCAACCGCTGGCATCGAACCAGAAGCGGCAGCCTTGACTCAGTCTCGGTGTCTCCGGTTTTCATTTTGAGCAGCTGCATCGCTCAAACGCCAATATTTCAGGGATGAAGGAGCAGGGAACCCCCTCCTCCAGTGGTTTCCATCAGCAAGTGTTCCTCTTTAGCACCACACCTGGCTGGGAAACAGCCAGGGTAACGATGAGATGGTGCCAAAGGAGGTTCCTGCAGGGCTACCGCAGCCACACCGCAGTTTTCTCTACCCGTCAGTGATGTCCGCCTTGCTGAGACCCTGCGCTGATGCTCGAACGTGAAGTCCTTCAAGACAGCGCCCATCTGCACGCAGCTCTGCACCGGCTCACCCATCTCATACGAGCTTGGTGCCCACGCAAGAGGCGTTAAGCCGCCTGCAGCTCATTTCAGCCATCTCAGCGAGGACTTGGCCTTTTTCAGAGCGTATATATTTAAGGAAGCTCCATTTAGAGGACCGCCTTGCACCACCGTTTTCAAGGAAAGAATTAAAGGATTATTTGCCCAAATGATCCATTTAGTTTTTGGAGATTTAACCAGAAAAGGTCCCCTTGGGAGGTGGTGACCAGAGACCAGACCGGTACGCAGGGTGGGTGAGATGGCTGGGGATGAAGCCCCGGGGGTGACGGGCGAGCAGGACTGAGCTGCAGCGTCCTCGGGGGGGTCTCAGCTCTGCCCTCCACCTCTCCCTCCCCACCGCCGGACGGCTTTCCAACGCAACCAAACTGCTCCACGTACCCGATCCTGAATACTGAAAGATGTTCTGCTGCATCTGCGGCGTCATCCCGGCGCCAAACTGCCCTCCGACGCCGCCCATCATCCCCCGGTTCACCATGCTGCTGCGGTTCGCCAGCGCGGCCTCGGGGTTGGACGCCAACGGTGAGAAGGGACTGGTGGAGGTGGGAGGGTTTCCCGGGGTCGTACCGTAGTTTGGGGGGTAAGGGAACTGCTGGGGGGGTGCTTGGGGCAAACGAGCGGCTCCGATCTGTACCGGGAGCCCGGCGGAGGGAGGGAGGTTGTTTCCGAAGCTTTGCTGTCTCATCAGGATGGCTCGCTGCTGCATGAGCTGCCGCTGCCGGTGCTGCTGGCTGTAGAGCTCGCGCTGACGCTGGGCCAGCATCTGGGCGTTGAGGGGAGGCTGCGGGGAAGGAGGGGGATGCCCCAATTATCACCGTTACCCTCCGGTTCCGGCAAACAGCGCAGAGCCCGCCCTGCGCAAGAGCCGCGGGTGCTCCCCTTCCCCGACGCGGGGTGCCCGTCCTCCGTTTCCAGCAAGGCAAGCTGGAAAACTCCTGAAATGCTGTAAATCGGCCCCGTTCGCACCGCTGCAGGGCAGAGCAGGTTGGAGATATTAAAAGTCAGCCTCCGCACGGGCTGAATGGCAAAGCTCCGGGAGCTGGAGCATCCCCCCAGCTGGGAAAGGAGTCTCTCCGTCACCTGGCTGCCACCAACCACCTCCGTGGGACCCACTTCTTGTGCCCTCACCGGGATGCTGCCGCGCGCCACAGCCCAAGATCCCTGACCTCAACTCTTTTGGCTGCGAGCCGGTGAAAAGAAAAGCCCATCCTACCAGCTTTTCCATGACCACGGGCTCGTTCCCCACATGGCTGAGCCAGATGTGTGGGAATTAATCACCTTAAAAAGCCTGAAAAAGCCATCAGCGGCTGAAATCGGAGCTACAACGGGAACCGTTTGGTCCCCTTCCCTATCACTAATGCTCCCCACGGCACATTAGGGACGTCACGCCGCTTCCCAAAAAGGCAAAGGCTTCTCCAAGAAGCGGAATAAAGTCACCAGAACTCAGTTACGCCTTCCAACTTCTCCTCGTACCCTGCAGATGTTTTATCCACTTTAGTAGAAGCCAAACAAGAACTTCAGTGCCTGGGGATTTGCGGCATCAATAAGAAGACTCACTAGAGATTCTGGTATTTAAAGGATGGCATCTATTTCCTAAAGATCCTTCTCAATTAATACGTTGGCCATCCTTCTCTAAGCAATAATGAAGTATTTATACCTTAAGCAGGTGGAGGAGCTGGAATAAGTGGTAAGCCAAAGAAAACCCCGCAGCAGCTCGTCTTGCAGCCACCTCCCCACACACGGGAGGATATTTCTCTCCCGTTAATGACAGAGAGGAGCGAGCCAGGCTGTGCCGACAGGGAGGGATCAACCCCCAGTTTTTGCCAGCCGGAAGACCGTGCCGCATCCCTCTTACCTGCGGCGTGATCTGCTGCTGCATCCCCGCCCGCATGTTGATGCCCACCGGGGAATTGGCCGCAAACTGGTTGAGGATCGCTTGCCGGTTTTGATGGATCAGCTGGAGGGGAGAAAAAAAACCCAAACAATCCAAGGAGACCTTCAAAACTCCGATGCAGGAGCTTCCCACCCATCCGATCCCTTCCGATTGGGATGCGCGGGCTGCAGGCAGGAGCGAGGGTCTCTCCACCCCGCTGCCCGCAGCCCTGGGATGCGGAGGGGGAAGAATTACCTGCTGCTGCCCCTGCAGCCGCTGCTGCAGCTGAAGTCGCAACTGGTTGGGGGCCGTCGGGGGTCTGTTGAGCGTCTGCCGGGGTTGCATGGCCATGTTGGTGGGGAAGGCGCCGCGGGGCGGCGGTACCTGCACCGGCATGGGTCCGAAGGATGGCTTCTGCCTGACCATGCCGGGGAAGGCGCCGGGGAGGTTGGTGGTGGGAGAGGCGGAGGAGTAAGGCTGAGGGTACATGCCGGGTTTCTGCTCCATCATCAGCGGTGGGGTGGCTTGTTGGGGCTGGGACCGCTTCGTCAGGGGTTCCCGCCCCCCCGCCCTGGCGAAGGTAAAGAGGGAAGAAAATATCACTTTGGAGCTCCACCGGCGCCGGACCCCTCCCGGGAGAGCACAGAGGGGACAGAGGACGTGTCCGGCACGGGGCAGGTCTCTCGTAAGGATGCTGCTGCCTGTAACCCTCAGCCCTGGGCCAGGCTCCGGCCCCCGTGAAATTAAACGCCCGCTCCCTGGGGCTTAGCAGACCTTCAGAGGGATGGCAATGATTTCTTTTGGCTTGCTCGGCAGCAAAGACCAAGGCCAGGCTTTTCGGAAGGGCTCGGGGCTCCCCTCCCTGGGCTGGCGGGGGGCTGCGGGGTAGGAGCAGCGGACCTTCCTCCGCTTTCCTCCGCAGGGTGGGTGAGCACTGGGCTGCTCATCTGAGCTCCAAACGGTAACGAACTCTGAGGAGTGAGCTGAACATGGGAAATAATTTGTGCTCTCTTTCCTTTCCTACATTTAGGCAGCCTCGGAGGCTCGGCTGGAGGAAGAGGGTACGGCATTTCGGGTCCCCATCTCCCCCAAGAGCCCTTTGGACACAGGCCACCTCCAAGGACCTGAGCCATGGACCCCCGGGACCGGGAGAACTTATGGAGAAGCACAACCATCTTCCTGCGCTGCTCATGGACAGCCCTCGCCAGGAACCCATGGGAGACAGCACCTTTTGGTCTACAGTACAGCCATTCCTGTACAAATGGGCCATATTACAGCTGGGGGATGATTTCCACAGCAGCAAATCACGACAAGAAGATATTCTGTGCTGCTCTTGCTTGACTCAGGCCAAGAAATCTGATGTTTGACCTACGAACCCACGGCCAAGTAACACCTTGGGGCCAGAATCCTGCGTCCGAGTCCCACGGATTAAGAGAAAACTGTGTTAAGAGAAAAACCACACACATAAACCACTCCCAAAAATCCCACGGCCTTTGGGATTTGGTTAGATGGTGCCCATCAAAGGAGCGAGGCGTGAAGGCAGGGATGAGGATATGGGAACGGTGGCGGGGGGAAAATTGCTTGAGATAAATGAAGATGGAGCTTATATGGCTCAAGGACCGGCTAGCAAGACATAAACCAGCAACCTGTGGTGGCCAGAAACCACAGACCTGCTGAAATGAGGCTCTTTTACTCTTCTCTCCTCAAACTACCCAGTTTCCAGCCGCCTCCTGATTAAACTGGGTGCAGGTATCTCCGGCACTTCATCCCACCCCGTCTGCAGTAGGACGGAGAGGACGGTGGGTTCGGTGCGGTCAGAGTAAATCCCCAAACAGCCCCAGGGGACGCGAACCCCCACCTGCCAATAACACATCCCAGAGGGGAACTATCAACACGTTTTCTTCCCCAAAATGCCTTTATGCTGACATGTTGTTTCTCTAAAGACATATTTCGAGCAAATATGTCATGGAACTATTCCAAATATTTCCGAGGTTCAGCTGAAGCCGTGGAAAAAGCCCAACATTCCCATTAACGAAATGATCCCTGGATGGGAGCAAAGCTGGATCGGGGTCCAAACATGAGATAATCCCCCCGAACCAGGTCGTCCTCGGCAGGGGAAGCGCCAGATCGGCGTGGGGATGCTTGGCAGCGCTGGGAGCCATCCGAGGGCATCTCAATCCAGCGGTTCGATGCTGCCGGAGCCTCTCCGGTGCAGGAAAGGGTTGCTGGGGAGCTGTGCCAGCTGAGTCTGCAAAATCCTTGTGAAAACACTGAGCTGTTGCAGCTGCATCTTTGACAAGAGCATCTCCAGTACGAAGGACCAGCGAAGCTCAACTCCCTACCCTTAAACTTGCCAAAAAAAAAAAAAAAAAGGCAGGTGGGGATTTTGGAGGCACAGCCTTGAGGAAAGGGACGTGACAAATACCCCAGTGGGGAATCAACTCACTGACGGGTCCCTCAAATCGCTGATGAAAAGATAAACCCTCCCAGCAGGGCAGCGCAAGGCAGCGCGTCAGGGCCACAGAAGATGTGCCACCTCCGGGGCTTAAATGACGCAGGATCGGGCCCAGAGCAGCCAGAGAGATTTGCTCCGAGAAGCTTCTTTCTTAGGACATCGCGTTTATTAACAGGCTTTCGATTCCGTTCCTTGTTTTGGAAAAAGCGTGCGTGTGAGCGCTATGGGGCACGGAAAAAGAAACCACTCCAAGGCAAATCCCAAGCGATCCGTCTCGTTTTCCACGTCCCTCGCTGGCTCCCCTGCAGCCTGCCTTCTCCCCCTGCTGTGCCCTGTTATTTAGGAAAACCCGGACCTTTCACATGCATCTGCCTCCACGGATATCTGCAAACAGGGAGTCTCCGCCGGAGCTCAGCCGCAGAAACCAGGGCCCCAGCGCCATCCGAGTACGACGGCACCGCTGAAAGCAAACCTCCTTTTTTTTTTTTTTTCCTTTTCCCCCTGCGGTTCAACCCGAGACAGAAGGGCAGCTGCACTGTAAGCCAATCTCGAGAGCAAGGGCTGCACGGTTTCATACCAGCGAGGCCATTAGATGTATTATTAGGCAGCACAACCCAGGCTCAGGAATCCCAGGCTGTGGGATTCCAGCTGGAAGGCTCCTCCGTGCCCTAATCCCCCCGGTAAGGTGGGGAAGCGGGACAGCCTGCCAGCTCTCCCCGTTACATGAGCCGCCCGGGGCTGAAACCGCTCGGCCGCCTCTTTGCCAGGCTGCCGGTTCTCATGGGGGAATCGCGTTTGAAAAGCGGAGGAGCGAGATATTGTATTTCACGGGGCTGTTTTCCAGCTTTTTTGGCGGGGGGAGAGAACGGCGTGGTGTTAAGTATCGTCTCTCAATCTGATGCGCTCGTGTGTTCCCACTCACATCTGGCCTCCCGTTACCACCAGATGTTGGAAATCCTCCTCCACGCTCACGTCAAGCCTCAGCATCTGGCCCCGTATGTGACCTCCAGTAAGTCCCACGAGTGGTTCCCTCTTTACCTGGACCAGTTTGTCGATCCCAAGAGCTCGATCCAGCTCGGCCAGCTCTGTCTCGTCTTTGCCGCTGAGGAAGGAGACGAGCTGCTCGAGCAGCGCTTTCTCGTCGTTCCGACCCTCCGGCGTGGTGGGAGGACACAGGAGCTCGTCCAGCTGCGAGGTGATGCACTGGCTGCAGAGAGAAAAAGCCAAGAGAAGGCACGTTAAGGTTTAGGAAGCAGGGAGGAGGCTGAACTGGGAGATGCTGGAGCGACACAGCCCCTGCAGCCACAGGGACTCGCTCCCACCCCGCTGCATCGTGCAAACCCCACGGGACGCAGCTTCGTCCCTCGGCTCCGACACCGGCTGAGCCCGCTCAAGCTCAAGCCCCGTGCTAAAACCTGCTTGTATGGATGAACCTCTCCAGGAAACGAAGCCCGGACAGCGTTTCGGTGAGGTTCGGGGGGAAGAAAACTTTGGTGCTTTTGCAGGCTTTGCTCCCGCAGGCGTTTTAGGCAGGACAGCGGGAGGCTGAGCGAAACTTCTGCCGGCACGAAAGCGGGGAGGTTTGGATGGAGCCAGAACAGCTGGAAGCAAAGCAGCTGAAGGCAAAGGGGAACCTTTGAGCTGCAAAACTAAGATTTCTGCAACGCTCGCTCAATATTCTTTGGGAATAAGATTAATATGTAATGAGAGACATTCCAATGACGTGACTAATTGGAGTCAATCGGATTTGCTGGGTCTGACACGCCGAAGAGAGCCGTGGCACATCACGCTCGCAGAGAGGCACAAAGGCGAGGGCTCGAACATGCCAGCAGTTCCCAAGCAGCAGACATGTTTATCCTTTTAGCTCCAGATGAGGACCAGATGTACAGTAAGGAACTGAAGCCAATCCGACCGAGACCGCTGCAGCCAACACACGCAGCCTAATCCAGGGAAAAGAAATACTCGGCGCTGGGATTTCTTAAATTGCAGAGTAGGAGCGGAGAGGGAAGAGGGGAGACAGAGGTGAAAAACGGGGCTGGTTTCGCTCCGTGGCCAAGGTCCCCGCTGCTTGCCGCTTGTATCAAGCCCAGCTTCTCAGTGCCAAGACCAAAGGACAAAGTTTACTGCACAGACATGGTTCTTGCGCAGGAAGGGGAGGACAGGCTCCTTCTCCACCTTAACAGGCAGGTAGAGGAGAAATTCAGGTCGGCACCATCTCTTCAGTCCATGCCACACCTCTGCATGGATGGCAAAAGTTGGTTTATAAAGAGATTGCGGCGACAATACAACCTTGATATAGTAAATAAACCTCCAGCGCGTCCTGCCCTGCAGCCCAATCCAGCCTGAGAGCCTTCCCCACCCCTCCTCTCCTCCAGCACTATGCCACGGTGGGGTTCAGATGGGTCTCTTGGCAGGTAACGGGGGGGGAAGGAGATCCTGGACCCCGTGGCATCATGTCCCCAGTTTTCTATCCAAAGGTATTTTACCCACCGCAACCCTTCAGGGTTTGGGTTTTTTTTTAAGGCAAAAACTCTGATTTTGCACATGGTGAGGAGGAGAAGTTCAGCTACATGCAGAGATGGTGTCAAATGCTGCTTGAGGTCATGTAAAACATCTCCCTGGCACGGCCTCCAAGCGCTGCTCTGGAAGGGTGCAAGTCTCCGGCCCTGCACAGATGTCCTACAAACCTCAGGCATCTCAGATGGCACCGGCTGCCAGTGCTGAGGCAACCAAATCGGGCCCCGGGTGGCATGTTTGACCTTGGGGGATTAGAGGAACGTGTGCGAGAACAGCGACCTGGACTCGGTTCGAGATGCCTTGGACATGGCCCAAGGTGTCCCTCTTCTGCAGAAGACACACGAGCACTTACGCCTGAGAAGGGATGTTGTAGTGGTTCCACTTTACCAAGAGGCAAAGGCACGGGAGGATTTGGGGAACGGGAGAATTAAGAAAGGAAGCTCCTGTTCCCCAGGACACCCGGTGCTGGGAGATCTGGGCACCACCACCTCCTCAAACAAGGCCAGGACCTCAGCCCACCTCCAGCTAACGTGAACCTCCCAGCTGGGAAACCTTTCCAACCCCCAAAGCAAAAGCTCTGCTGGTTTGATCTTAGCTGAAATATATTTCTCGGTCCTGTGATATCTGCAGTCCAAAGGCACCGTTTCCTCCAACTGCGGTCTCTGTTGGGTGGACAGGCAGCTGCTGGGACTGTGGGCATCTCCCAGGACAAGCGTGTCCTCCCCAGTTGGTGCACATCTGCAGGTCTTGAGAACCAAAGTCTAGAGGCTTCTCCCCATCAGAATCTCTTCTCTTGGCTGCGGTGGAAGCGGGGTTTTGTAGTTGATCTCTATGCCACTAGATGGAAGTGGTTAGACCCCACCAAGATGCTGCCAAGGCAGGTCTCACCCATGGAGCTCCATCAGACCTCAGTAACCAGAGGGAACTGAGCTGGGAACAGGCTTCTTCCAGTGTTGCCTCTGCCCACCACCTCTGGCAGGAACCACGCATACCTGGAGAACATAATTCAGGAGGAACGGATGCTCACCAGGACGAGCAGCCCTCTGCCTCTCATCTTGCTGTCATCTCGCGGCCCCGGTCCATGTGTTGGCTCTACCGGTGGCTTCACCATGTGCTAAGCCCAACCTTGCTGGAGGGAGCCAATGGAGCCATGGGAAGTCCCACCACGCAGCATGATTTTCCTTGCTTTCTCCCCCTTCAAAGCCGAGAAAATCAAATACTACCTCGTGAAACCTCAACCAGGCAGCAGTTTTGAAGTGTGGTTGAAACCAAACTCAAGGACCACGCAAGATTTGTTACCTCCGCATCTCACCAGGCTTCGGGCAGATGCCACTGCTTCACCGATCTGACCTTGTACCTTATGTCCTGGCACGCTGTTCTGCCCTGAAAACCACCCCCAGGAGTGACTCACTCATGTTTTTCCCACCTGAGGAATCCCGGGATGATGCTGCCCGATGTTCCCCTCCTTGACACCTGCAGAGGTCCCAAGCCTTCCACGTCAACCTGGGTCCTCACTCAATAATCCAGCCGCAAAGGATGAGCTAGAAGAAATTCCAGCTCCCTTCCTCCCAGCTGGGCTGGCTGGGGAGACAAAAATGTCCACAGCCAACCAGTCCGACTCAGACTGGAGCACAGGGCTGCTGAGTAAGGTAAGGTCATTTTTACCCCATAAGCAGCATTTTAAGGAACATTCGTAGCTTAAAGATCAGGTTGATTTTCCCACCAGCTCTGCCCTTTGCCAGGTGTGCCCCCACGGATCTTATCCCCACAAACTAATGACACCGCCGAGGCTTAAAAGGGAAGTTACTTCCTTGTGGCAAGGGCTCAGGCTGGCGTAAATGCTCAATTAAATGGGGATTTGTTTTGTCTCCCAGCTCTTTCGAGCAACAAGAGGCAAAGTCCTTCCAGCAGAAGTCCAAGATCTAGTTGTAGCGGTGGAGACCGCTTAGGAAACTCTCTTCGTGGGCTGAGCAAAGAGCTTTTAGAAATTAATCCAAATTTAGTTCCGAGAACAAGATGTTTGGCTACTGGCTTGCTCAGATACAACTCTTACATGTGTCTTCTTCATGACTGGAAAACAGCGACTGTGCTCATCTGCTAAAGACTTCAGTTAATAGAGGAAATTCTGCCTCTCCGCAAGAGCAGGGCTGGGCTTTGGCAAAAGGATCCACGCAGAGCTCATCAGCGCTGGCTCTTACACCAGGCACCCGAAGCCCTCCCCAGGCCAGGGGGAGGATTCACCTCTCGTCATCAAATCCATCTCCTCGAGCACTGCTGCCACTGCTGCTGCCCCAGCGAGGACTCTGGGGTGCCCCTTGGCTGGTAGGGCATCGACTGCCCAGCTCCATCAGCAGGGCTCACCACCCTTCTGACCTCCCGTCCCAAAATATCTGACCTACGGTCTCCTCCAACCTGTTTACAGCCGAGGAGTGACCTTGTACTTCGGGCAGGTGACGACCCCTTGGCTGCTCCATGGGGCAGGAACCCAAAAAAGGTGGTCACGGGACCGGAGGGGGTTATTTGACTTCGGATTACAGCTGTGGTCATTTTAGCTGAAGCCAAACACATGGGAACTGCAAAGAGCTGCAATCATGGGAAAACACAAAATTGTCCTGCGGTTCTCCAGATCCCACCAGTGGCCCAGCCGAGAAGGAATGCTGGAGGGCATCAACCCAAATATTGGCTGCAGCACTGGTAAGGGATACTGGGGACTTGCAGCATCCTTGGCTCTGCCATGGATATATGGCCACTCTGTGATGATTCTACGATGACTCTATGATGATGATATGGGATTATTCAGGTCCAGACATACCCTGGATGTCTCCCCTGAACCCACCTTCCTTGTCTACTCGCACGCTTGCTCCTAAAGAGAGAACGGATGTCATCTCTCGCACCGTGGCACCCTTCACATCCCACGTCCCAGCACTTTGTGGTACCAGCAGCAACCACCACCACCACCGTGCAGCGACCAGTCGTGCTCGTCCCAGTTTGCACTCGCCGGGTTTCCAGGCAGGCAGCAAAGCAAAGCCACGTCTCTTTGACCCCAGCAGCTATTGCCAGGACATCCCGATGTTCTCCTGGGAGAGGTCGGGAAGCCGCCAGCCCCGTGATACTTACTCTTCGGGTTTATTCAGCGCCCCTCGATTCATGGCTGCCATGCTATTATCCGTCCAGGGG